GCCAACTCTGGCGCCACAAGCGTGGAAACTGTGGAGACTGATTCCAACTCCAGGTCTGGGGGGTAAGCATCCAGTCCAGGGGTGCAGACAGGCCTGGGGAAGCCCTGAGAGATCTGTGGGTCTCTCACCCAGGACAGTGACTCCACGCCTGGGGGCTGTCAGCCGTGGGGGGTGGGTGGGTCCTGGGCTTACCTGCAGGTCTGCAGACCTCCTGGGGCCAGCTGACCTCAGTAAACTTTGTCTAAGCTTCAGTTTGCTGCCTGTGAATGGGGTTGCGGCTGTGCTCCAGTTTCACCCTTGTGGCTCTGGGGTTGTGGTGACAAAGCCATCAAGCTGGGTTGAGACTGGCTGCCGTGTCTACTCCTTCCTCATACCTCTCTCTGCTGCATCCCGGGAAGTTGGCTCAGCCTGCTTCAGATTAGGCTCAGTTCTGTCTGTGTGCACATTGCACATGTGTTGGAAGTGTGTGGTACTGACACCAGAGTCAGTAACTCTGGGTGAGTGAGGCTTGCACATTTCTGGGGACAGGGAACTCACTACCTTTGTGCCCAGGGCAGAGCTTTGGGGGTCTGAGAAGACTTCTAGGGCTAGCCCCCGCAGTCTTTCCTCAGGTGACATGGTTTCCCAGACCCACTTCCTGGAGGTGCCTCTGTCTGCATTCAAGGGGTAGAAGGCTGACTGGGACAGAATGCAACACACTCAGTACGTGAGGAAAAGCCTCCCTTCATTCTGTAGGCCCTATCTCTGCTGACATGACTCGATAAAGTGCCTCCTCCTGTCTCCCCTCTCTGAACTCCCTCAGCTGCTTCCACGCTTCAGCTGTGCCCCATCGCAGGCAGCTCTCTGTCTCCTGCATTTCCTCCCAGCCCAGGCTTCCCTTGGGGTCAGCTACAGGGGTCTGGCCCATCCTTTGCCCACTCAGACATTCTTCGTGCCCACCTGCTGCTGTGAATCCTGCATGTCTAAGTGGGCATGCTCTCAGGCAGAGAGGAAACTGCTGAGCCGGCCAGGCAGGGGACGGAGCCCCGTGACTCTCCACTTTAGACCCTCCCAGCTGACTGCTGTGGAATGCAGCCACTTAGGCAGAGCCAGATCCTGAGGTTCCTGTTTGCTGTCTAGCCTTCAGGGGACAGGTCATGGGGCTCTGGTTCCCGCCCTGTCATCTTCCCAGTCACCCCTGATCTTCAGGTGGAGGAACAGCCAGGGAAAGGGGTTTGGTTATGGTACTCCAAATTCTAGGGCTATTGAGGATTTCACAGTTGTGTGTCTGGTGGGTTCTGTGTCCAGAGCCCACTTGAGAGCAGTGGGTGACAGGACAGCTCTATGTGGACCCAGGCAGGCAGCAATATTGGGTCAGCCTTCGTGTCCCTTTCTTAGCTGGAGCAGCCTGGAAGGATGATTGTGGGGTAGGTAAGGAGTAGACTCCCAGGTAGAGGCTGCAGGGGCTCTGGCACTGTAGGCACAGCAGGCCCAGGAGCAGGGAGGAGCCATGACCGTGAGCCTTTGGCCCATATCCTTGGCAGATGAGAGCCACAGGGCATGGGCTGCAGTGTCCAAGGTCCCCGGGCTGGGCTCCATGGCTGTTCCCACTCAGACTTCTTTGGTGGGGCTGGTCAGGGACATGCAGTAACTTGGGGCAGTTACCAAGTGGCCAAGGCTGCGCTGTTGGGCTGTGTGAGCTTGGGCCAGCTCAGGCCCTCCCTCTGCCCCTGCCTTTCTGGGCTGTTCAGGTGGTTCCTTGGGCTCCGGAGTGCTAGTGTTTCTGATGGCAGCAGAACCAGTCTGCACCCGGCCCCAGGCCATGTTCCCGGAACACACCTTAGCATTGACATCAGGGTGTGGTGAGGCCCCCTTAGGCTGGGTTCTGGTCTGTGCCAGGCACCACTACTCCACTGCCTCCAGAGCCATCTCTGGGACACTGGCTGTGAGTTCAGGATGTTCTGAACAGGGACAGGGAAAGCCGAGGGGACCCAGCCTGGGGCTAGCTGAGGCTCATAAGCAGACAGCGCCTTGAGGGAACTGAGTCTGGAAGGGAAACTCCTTTCCCCGGGTCACAGCACCTGGCACCCAGGGCCCTCCCAGGGCTGCGTGAACTTGAATACATGGTGACAGGCCGAGTCACCGTGCCAAGTCTCTGTGCGCCTCCTTGCTGCTGTGACGTCAGCTTCCCCATCCTCCCAGCCAGGCTGGACCTCTGTGAGAGGCCTGCTTGTCCTGCACCCTGTGCAGATGCCTCCCACTGTCTGCTGGGGCTGATGGGCACCTCCCTGGCTGGTCTCTTTGTACTCAGGTAAGCTCATGGGTCCTCCGGCTGCTCCTGCTCCTTCCCTGCCTCTGCTCCTTCTCAGAGGCCACCCCCAGATCCCAGTCCCAACCAGGCCCCCTGAGGAGCACTGCAGGCCGCACGCGTGGCTCTGAGCCACCTGGGAGAGTGTGAGCCCAGCCAGTTCTGTGGCCGGGACTTTCCCAGGCAGACAAGTCTGTCTCCTTCTTCCCCAGCGGGTGCAGCCCAGAACTGTCTCTGAGGAAGAGGTGTTTCCTGGCCCCCACTGTCCCCAAGCCCTGTAGTAAGCCCATCAGGGTCACAAGGAAGGGGATCTGGGTTTGAGGCCAAACCTGTGGCAACTGACTTACTTCTAGCCCTTGCCTCCCTAGGTGTGCAGCTCACACTATTTGGGTGACAGCCAGCCCTCTGGGCTTGGACATTCTTTCAGTGAGTCTTGAGGGTGGAGGGATGGGAAATGGAAGCCCAGGGCCTCAGCAGGGTGTCTTCCTCCGAGCTGGGGACATCTGCCTGTGGAAAGGCCCAACCCCTGCTAACCTGCCCTTGGAGGAAGTGACAGGCCCAGCACTGCCTACTCCACTCCCATGCTCTCCTGGCAGTCTGAGCCTGGCTGGGTGTCCCCTGCTCCTCCAGGAGCCTACTTGGGCCTTTGCAGACAGATTAACAGACAGGTGGGGAGGCTGGGTCTCGGGCTGGGCCACCCCGACCCTAATGGGGGTTCAGCTCATGACCCCGAGCCTGGGAGAGATGAGGCCATGCCTTCCAGGGCACTCAGCATGACCCGGCCCAGTGGACGGGACTGCAGCTTCCTTGGTGCAGGGGGTTGTCATGCTAGGATGGGGGCACCAACCAGGCTACAGGCCCCCGCCCCATGACATGGGTGGAAAATGTCCGTTTGTTTTGTTTTGTTTTTTGCTTTTTTTTTTTGAGATAGAGTTTCACTGTTGTTGCCCAGGCTGGAGTGCAGTGGTGCAATCTTTGCCTCACCGCACCTGCCCCCAGGTTCAAGCAATTTCTCCCGCTTCAGCTCTCGAATAGCTGGTATTACAGGCACCTGCCACCATACCCAGCTAATTTTGTATTTCTTTAGTGGAGACGGGGTTTCCACCATGTTGGCCAGGCTGGTCTCAAATCCTTCACCTCAGGTGATCCACCTGCTTCTGCCTCCCAAAGTGTGGGATTAGTAGGCGCCGAGCCCCTGCATCCGGCCATGTGATGGGAATGTTCTGTGTCCATAATGGATGCTGCATCTGCTGGTCTAGCCCTGAGCCCCTGACCTCCAGGAATTGTGTTTCTATCAGAAACCCTTAACCTTGTCCCAGACTCTGCTGGAATTTGTGTGCTGGAGTGGCAAGAGGGCTGTCATGCCGCAAGGGTGTGGAGCTATTCCACGGGGCAGGGGAGAGGCAGGACCTGTTCTGTAGCTGGATGACAGAGCCCTCTAGCTGCTTTCTGGAAGACTGAAGAGCAGGTGATGTTGGAGGGAGGGGAGTGCAGGCAGGCTCTGAGGAGTTCAGGTCAGAAACAAGTGGCACCTGGATTCAGGCTGTGGTGGTCACGGGGATGAGGCTGCTTGGATTCTGCTGGGGATGTGGGGTGGTGTGCTGCTGCTTGACTACTCCCAGTCCCCCTCTGCTCTTGGTGTCTGCATCCAGGGCTCTGAGGTCAAATGTTTCACACTATTGGCCCCAGGCCTCGCCAAGCCTGGGGAGGTGGGCCACCCCTTCCACGATGGCATTTGGATATTCCCTGTATGTGGGGGAGGCACAGTTCCATCTCTAGAGACTCACCTCTGGGACAGCAGAAACTGGCTCTGAGGTCAGATGCTCTGCCCTGGGACAGGTGTGGTGGAGGGGAACCCCAGGCTTGGGGCTCGCTGAGGGGCTTGCTGGCAGACACTGTACTTTGTGGGAAACTGAGTGGGGAGGGGGAACCCCCTACCTCTGTCACCACATCCTCTTCGCTGTTGGGGGTCATACCCGCCACCTACTGCCATAGCCATGAGACTTCCCAGTGGTCACTGCTGCACCTCACTGCACAGCCCGGAAGGGAGGCCACAGGGGACATACAGTGAGCAAGAGACCTGTGCCACTCAGGCCTCCTGGGGGTGTCCCCAATGCAGCCGATAATAATCACAGCCAACATTCACCGGGCTCTTCCCACAGTCTAACCTACTTCTATTCACAACACTCTCAGCAGCAAAGGCAAGTGAGGTGCTGCCATCATCCAGACTGACGGTTCATTGATTTACCTGAGGCCCTTACACGGCAGAGTGGGCAAGTCCAGCCTCCTTCAGAGCAGCAGGCTAGCCAGCCCCTGAGCCCCCTTGCTACAAGCTTACCACATGCACATCCTGGGGCTTGCAGGAATGCCTCCCATTCTGTGCCCTGCCTCTGTGCAAAACCCTCTTGAGCTGTGCCTGGGAGATACGCTGAGGGAATTCCGCAGCTCAAAATGTACATTGACAGCCTTTGCCTCCAGAGTTCAAGGAGACCAGAGAAATCAGCTAGAGGCAGAGTGAGGTCACACGGAGTCCCCAGAAAGACTGGCTACGCCGAAGACTGTAACCTTCTTTGACTTAGAGAATGAGAAGGCTGCCTGACCAGAGAGTCTCTGAAGAAGACCCAGGCTACATGCTCCTGCAGAGTGTGAGGGAGACCCTGGTTATTTCCTCAGCTACCACCAAATCCTCCCATCTGGTGGCCAACACCCCCAGGCAAGGCTTGGTGCCCCTCAGCTCTGCTGCTGGACAGTAAGTCTTGGCTCCATGGCAGTGAATCTGTGGGGTACTCTGATTGTGGGCACTATGGAAGCTAAACTCCCCATGCTCCAGGTGGGGTGGGAGGGTCCCTAGGACCCTGACAGTGCCAGACTCTGGGCTGAGGGGGACACAGAAACCAGGCCAGGCCTGTCCCTACCAGAGCTCCTCCCTAAGCAGTGGAGGCTCAGCCACTGTGAGAAGGTAGGCAAGGCCCTGCAGAAAGAGGGGTGTTGAAATATGGGGGCTCCGAGGAAGGGCCCCTGCTGGAGATGGGGTTCTTACCAGGATGGACTCTGAAGATAAGCAGGGAGGATTTGGGAGGGCAGAGATGAGGCCCAGAGCTTCTGACAGAGGGCATGGCCTGGGCAAAGGTCTAGGGCACACTGGACAGCCTGCACGAGTTCTGGGAAGTGGGAAGGAGACACTGGGCCTGTGTTTCTGAGGCCTGACTTTCGACTGTGCCCTGTTGGGGAGGGACCAGGGAATGTCTGAGGTTGACCTGACCCTGCTCCCTACCCCCTGTGGGTGCAGCAGAGCCATGAAGAAGAGGTTAGTGGTGCTGGGCCTGCTGGCCGTGGTCCTGGTGCTGGCCATTGTCGGCTCTGTCTCTGGCTGCTCCCCGGCCTCCAAGGAACCTGACAACCATGTGTACACTAGGGCTGCCGTGGCTGCAGATGCCAAGCAGTGCTCGGAGATTGGGAGGTGAGTGGGGCAGGGCATGGGGGCATGGGCCATGAAAACTGGGCAAGTGGACCTGAGCACACCGTCACCCCTCTGAGACTCAGTTTCCCCACATGTAAGTTTTGCTTGGACTTCTCTCAGTAGCCTCTGTGGGGACGGTGACTCCAAGAGCAGGGTTTGGGTGTCCTAGAGCCAAACAGGGCCCCCTTTTCAGTTCTAAGAGTCTGGATAAACTCCACTGTTTTATTGTTTGAATATATATTTTTACTTATTTCTTCATATATCTATTTATTTAGAGATGGAGTCTCACTCTGTCACCAGGCTGGAGTGCAGTGGTGCAACTTCAGCTAACTGCAACCTCTGCCTCCCAAGTTCAAGTGATTCTCATGCCTAAGCCTCCCAAGTAGCTGGGATTACAGGCATGTGCCACCACACCTAGCTAATGTGTGTGTGTGTGTGTGTGTTTCTTTTCCGAGACAGAGTCTCACTCTTGTCACCCAGGCTGAGTAAGGTGGTGCGATCTCGGCTTACTGCAACCTCCACCTCCCGGGTTCAAGTGATTCTCCTGCCTCAGCCTCCACAGTAGCTGGAACTACAGGCTTGTGCCACCATGCCCGGCTAATTTTTGTGTTTTTAGTAGAGACAGGATTTCACTATGTTGGCCAGGCTGGTCTTGAACTCCTGACCTCGTGATCCACCTGCCTCTGCCTCTCAAAGTGCTGGGATTACAGGCATGAGCCACCACACCCGGCCCACTCATGGTGTTTTTAGTAGAGAGACGGGTTTCACCATGTTGGTCAGGCTGGTCTCAAACTCCTGACCTCGTGATCCACCCACTTCGGCCTCCCAAAGTGTTGGGATTACAGGTGTGAGCCACCACGCCTGGCTTATTTTTTTTTTTAAGGCGGAGTCTTACTCTGTCACCCAGGCTGGAGTGTAGGGGAGCGATCATCGCCCACTGCAGTTCAAACTCTTGGGTTTAAGTGATCCCCCTGCCTCAGATTCCTAAAGTACTGAGATTATAGCTGTGAGCCATGGTGCCTGGCCTCTACTGTTTTATTCTTTTTTTTTTTTTTTTTTTTTTTTTTTTTTTTGAGACGGAGCCCAGCTCTGTCGCCCAGGCTGGAGTGTGCAGTGGGCGCAATTCCGGCTCACTGCAAGCTCCGCCTCCCGGGTTCATGCCATTTTTTCCTGCCTCAGCCTTCCAGTAGCTAAATTCACAGTGCTCTCGCCATCGCGCCCGCTAATTTTTCATTACTTTTTGTAGAGACGGGTTTCACCATGGCCCCGATCTCCTGACCTTGTGATCCGCCCCGCGCCGGCCTCCCAAAGTGCTGGGATTACAGGCGTGAGCTACCGCGCCCGGCCCTGTTTTATTCTATTTTAGACTCCTATCTCATGTTATATACAAAGATCAGTTCCCTCCTAAAGACTTAAACAGAAAAAATCTTATGTTTTTGATATTTTGAGACAGGGTCTTGTTCTGTCACCCAGACTGGAGTGCAGTGGCATGATCATAGCTCACTGCAGCCTTGAGCTCTTGGCTATCTTTCCACCTCAGCCTCCTGAGTCACCAGGACTACAGGTGCATCATACTTGACTCAATTAAAAGACTGTTTTGTAGAGAGATGGTGTCCAACTATGGCTCGCCGCCGCTACATTTGCCCAGGCTGGTCTTGAACTCCTGGCCTCAAGTGATCCTCCACCTTGGCCTCCCAAAGTGTTGAGATTACAGGTGTAAGCCACCATCTCTAGCCGGAAAAAAACAAAAAAAAGTTATTAATAAATATAGCAATTTCCTTTTGTCCCAATTATAAAAGTCATGTACGGTTTGTTTGAAAAAGAGGAAACTATCTGGGGCAGGGGTGGTTCACACCTGTAATCCCAGCACTTTGGGAGGCTGAGGCGGGCAGACCACCCAAGGTCAGGAGCTCGAGATTAGCCTGGCTAACATGGTGAAACTCCCGCCCCATTAAAAATAGAAAAGTTAGGCTGGGTGTTTTGAACCTGTAATCCCAGCTACACAGGAGGCTGAGGCAGGAGAATTGCTTGAACCCAGGAGGCGGAGGTTGCAGTGAGCCAAGATCACGCCACTGCACTCCAGCCTGGGTGACTGGAGTGAAACTCCGTCTTAGAAAAAGAAAAAAGAAAAAAGAAGAAGAGGGAAACTGTAATCCCAGCACTTTGGGAGGTTGAGGATAGGGGATTGCTTTGGACCATGAGTTCAAGACCAGCCTGGGCAACATAGAAAGACCCTGTCTCTACAAAAAGACAAAAAATTGCCAGGCATGGTGGTTCTTACCTGTAGTCCCAGCTACTCAGGAGACTGAAGTGGGAGGATTACTTGAGCCCAGGAGGTCAAGGCTGCACTGAGCCATGACGATGCTACTGCACTTCATCCTGGGTGATGAAAGTGAGACTCTGTCTTATAAAACAAAGGCCAGGCACAGTGGCTCACACCTGTAATACCAGCACTTTGGGAGGCCAAGGTGGGTGGATTACTTGAACCCAGGAGTTCTTGACCAGCCTGGGCAACATGGCAAAATCCGATTTTTAAGCAAAAATGCACAAACAAACAAAATTGGCTGGGCATGGTGGCATGTGCCTATAGTCCCAGCTAGTTGGGAGGCTGAGGTGGGAGGGCTGGGCTGAGCTCAGGAGATTGAGGGCTGCAGTGATCTGAGATCACACCACTGCACTCCAGCCTGAGCAACAAAGAGAGACTTTGTCTCAAAAAAAAAAAAAAAAAAAAGGCGATAAGGTGGGCGGATCATGAGTCACAGATGGAGACCATCCTGGCCAACATAGTGAAACCCCATCTCTCCTAAAAATATAAAAATTAGCCAAGCGTGGTGGCGTGTGCCTGTAGTCCCAGCTCGGGAGGCTGAGGCAGGAGAGCCGAACTCCAGAGGCAGAGGTTGCAGTGAGCTGAGATAGTGCCACTGCACTCAGGCCTGGCAACAGAGCAAGACTCTGCCTCAAAAAAAAAAAAAAAAAAAGAAATAAAGAAACTAAAACAAAAACCCCCAAAACTCGAATGGACTTCTCTTCCATCCTCCGTTAGGCAGGTGGGCAGCAGGGTGTGTATGCAGGGCCAAGATGGAAGCCCGCAGGTTCTCACGTCTTTATGTGCCACATGGCAGACGCATTGCGGATGGTGGCTCTGCGGTGGATGCAGCCATTGCAGCCCTGTTGTAAAAGGGCCCATGAATGCCCACAGCATGGGCATCGGGGCGGCCTGCCTTACTATCTACAACAGCACCACGCGTGAGTGCCTTGGGAGAGGCGAGGGAGAGGGGCAGGGGGTGTGGGTTAGGCTGAGGCACAGCTGGGTGGTCCCTGGCTCACAGCATAAAGGGTTTGGGTGGGTCTGCCTGCCTACCTGCTTCTCTCTAGGAAAGCTGAGGTCATCAATCCCATGGTGGTGGCTCCCCAGCCTGGCCTTCGCCAGCATGTTCAACAGCTCACAGCAGTCCCAGAATGGTGTTGCAGTCCTGCAAGCTTGGGGCGTGGGTGCAGTGAGCCAGTTGGGCCACTGGGAAGGGGCTCTGCCCACAGGATCCTGGCCCTGTCAGGGTCCAGGGGCAGTTCTAGCACCCCCATCCCTTTCCCTGGGCTCCATAGCACCTCCCACAATGAGTGGTCAGGACCATCATCACCAGGGTAAAGGGCTGGGAGCTTCTGTTATTTCTGCTGAGGCCTCCAGGGCCACCCTGTGCACACGGAGAGAATAAATTACTACACTAGCAGACCTTATGGACCAGGGCTCACTGGGGCCCATGCTCTGCTCTGTGCTTTTTATCCATGAGTCTCCCCACACCCTCCCTGCTCCCTTTGGGGTAGGGATGCTGTGTGTGGATTCCCAGCCTTACAGGGTGGGGATGCTGAGGCCCAGAGAGGTCATGAAATCAGCCGAAGTCACACAGCTGGGAGGTGGAAGAAATTGAACCCAAGCTGTTCATACTCCCCTGCCTTTTTCAACAGGCATCCCATTCACTCATTTGTTCATTTGTGGGGATGGGGCTCTCAGAATGTGAGGTGAGTCTCTCTTTTCCAATCTGGTCTTCAGTGGAGAGGAGGCCCCCAAATTCCCCAGGTACCTGAGGGGAAGCCACTGTCCATCCAGGAAGCCACTGTCCGTCCTCAAAGGAGGCACAATAGATTATGAGATTAAAAATTGGAAGATTGGGTGGGTCTCAACAGCTCACGCCTATAATCCTAGTACTTAAGGAGGCCAAGTCAGGAGGACTGCATGAGCCCAGGAGTTTGAGACCAGCCTGGGCAAAGTAGCAAGACTCCGTCTCTACAAAAAATGAAAAAAAAAAAAATTAGCCAGGTGTGGTGGTATGTGTCTATGGTCCCAGCTACTCGGGAGGCTGAGGTGGGAGGATCACTTGAGCCCATGAGGTTGAGGCTGCAGTGAGCCATGATTGTACCACTGCACTCTAGCTTGGGCAACAAGCAAGACCCTGTCAAAAAAAAAAAAGAAAAAAAAATGCTGGGATGGCTCACGCTTGTAATCCCAGCACTTTGGGAGGCTGAGGCGGGTGGATCACCTGGGTCAGGAGTTCAAGACCATCCTGGCCAACATAGTGAAACCCTGTCTCTACTAAGAGCATAATAATTAGCCAGGCATGGTGGCATGGGCCTGTAATCCAGCTACTCAGGAGTCTAAGGCAGGAGAATCGCTTGAACCCGGGAGGTGGAGGTTACAGTGAGCCGAGATCATGCCACTGTACCTGTGCCTGGGCAACAAGAGCAAAGCTCGGTCTCTGAAAAAAAAAAAAAAAAAAGTTGAGGATGGAGGGGGCAGGCACACTCACTCAGCAAGTCTTAGACCTCAGGTGAGGATCCTGGATGGTGCCTCCTTGGGAGTCTTCTACAACATACTCAATCTTGATTTTTTTTTTTTTTTTTTGAGAGGGGAATCTCACCCTGTTGCCCAGACTAGGAGTGCAGTGGTGCACCTGCTCACTGCAACCTCCGCCTCCCAGTTTCAAGTGATTCTCCTGCCTCAGCCTCCCAAGTAGCTGGGATTACAGGTTCCCGCCACCATGCCTGGCCAATTTTTTCTATTTTTAGTAGAGAGGGGGTTTCACTATGTTGCCCAGGTTGGTCTCGAACTCCTGACCTCGCGATCCGCCTCGGCCTTCCAAAGTGCTGGAATTACAGGTGTGAGCTACTGCACCAACCAATCTTTCATTTTTTACCTACTGAGTAGAACTCAGCATCTGTAGACATGAAGTTGCTCAGGGTAAGAGAATGCAGGAATCATAGGCTTGGTACCTTGTGGAGGTTTGGAATCATTTCCTTTAACTAGAATGTATTGAGCATCTCTTAAAGAATCAGAGGTTGTCTCCTGAAGCTGGTGAAAACAAAGATGGCATAAAATCTGTGACATTCCAGGTGGGAAGGAGAAATTAAGCAGGTGTGGGGTGTACTACGGCTGTGGAAAAACAGACCTGGGGGGCTCCAAAATCTGGGATTCTATGGAGGGGCCACCTAGTCAGGGAGGGATATTTTGAGCAAAGACCCAGGAGGCAGGTGGGGTCAGGGGAGCTGTGGTGTCTGGGGGAAGACCAAGTGATCCTGTGGTGGGTATGGGCAGACACAGAGCCCTGTGGGAGCTGGGGAGGGCTGCAGCAAAGTGACCCGAGGGAACGGCCCAGGTTGTGTGGGATCTCTTAGGTCATGCAGGGAAGCCTCTGCCTCTTTGTCTGAAGGAAGTGGGGGCCTGGCGGAGTGTGTGAGTGGGAGGGGGTTTATCGACTCCAGACCCCTTGGGTTGGTTGTGTGTAAGGGACAGGGAGCATGTAGGGACCCGTCCGGAGGTCACTGCAATTCATGGAGAGGGGGTGGTGGGAAGTGGTTGACGCTTCTGGACAGACACTTGGAAGTGGAGCCTGTGGATTTGAGGATGGGTTGGGTGTGATGTTGGTAGGGAGTCCCCGAGGACCCCAGATCTTTTGTCTGTACTCGGAAGGATGGGGTGACCCTAATGGAGACAGGCAGGGCTCTCAGAAGCAGGTCTGGAGTGGACACTCAGGAGCTCGGTTTTGGGCACGTTTAAGTTTGAGATGCTTTCTTCGAGCAGGCAGGTAGATACTCGGGTCTGGCAATCAGAGGAGCAGTCCAGGCCAGCAAGTCAATTTGGGAGTTGCTGTGTGCTTAAATGGAGGCTGAAGCTCAGATGCTGTGCAGACTACCGGGAGAGAGAGCAGACAGAGAGGGAGAGCAGGAGGTAGGATGGCAGGCGTGGGGAGACACGTGGTGGAGCCAGGTGCTGGGATGGTGGTGGCTCAGGAGGTGATGAGCCTAGTAAAGCTGGAGGGAGGGGGCACTGGGTCTGCAGTGTGGGGTCGCTGGAGAGTTTGGCAAGTGTAGTGGCATGACAGCCTGATTGGAGTGAGGTCAGGAGAAGATTTTTTTCTGATATTGATACATGATATTTTCTTTTTTCTTTTTTTTTTTTTTTTTTTTTTGAGACGGAGTCTCGCCTAGATCACCTCGGGAGTGCAGGCTGGATCTCAGCTCACTGCAGCTCCGCCTCCCGGGTTTACGCCATTCTCCTGCCTCAGCGCCTCCCAAGTAGCTGGGATCACAGGTGCCCGTCACTTCGCCCGGCTAGTTTTTTGTATTTTTTTAGTAGAGATGGAGTTTCACCGGGTTAGCCAGGATGGTCTCCATCTCCTGACCTCGTGATTCGCCCGTCTCGGCCTCCCAAAGATACATGATATTTTCTATACTTATGGGTACATGTGAGTGCTTGTTACATGCATAGTGTATGATGATCAAGGCAGGGTATTTGGGGTCTCAGTCACCTTGAGTATTTTCATTCCTGTTTGTTACAATCTATAAGTCTTCCAGTTACTTTGAAATATACAAAATACTGTTGCTAAGCATTGTCACCCTGCTCTGCTGTCAAACATTAGAACTGCTGTCTTGACTGGGCCTGCGGGAAGGTGGCTCATGCCTGTCATCCCAACACCTTGGAAAGCTGAGGTGGGTGGATTACCTGAGGTCAGGAGTTTGAAACTGGCCTTGCCAACATGGCGAAACCCCATCTCTACTAAAAATACAAAAATTAGCCCGGCGTGCTGGCATGTGCCTGTAATCCCAGCTATTTGGGAGGCTGAGGCAGGAGAGTTACTTGAACCCAGGAGGCGGAGGTTGCAGTGAGCTGAGATCATGCCACTGAACTCCAGTCTGGGACACACAGCAAGACTCTGTCTCAAAAAAAAAAAAAAAAAAAGAAAAAAAAAAAGAAGTTCTGTCTAACTGCAAGGGGGAAGGAATCATAAAGGTGTCAATCTTCTTGGTGGATGTATGTAGCTCTAAGAATTGAAACCACTGGCTCTTTTGGACTTTTGTGCCAGGCTTCAGGGTGGGAGAGGCAGTTCTAGAGCCACAGCCACCAAGCTCGGGGAGGCCAAATGGCCCCGTCATCTCTGGCAAGAGCAGGAAAATACCTGGGCGCAGAGGCCACGGTTGTATCTTTCTGGGCAAAGGGTCAGTGTCTATAGTGTACATATGGTCAGTGAGGCTCGGGGGAAGCAGGCCAGGGGTCTGTTTCCAGTGACCTCCCCGAAAGTCAGAACTGGAAGGCAAAACCTCCTTATAGGCTGGGTGCACCTGTAATCCCAGTATGTCGTGGGAGGCTGAGGTGGGAGGATCACTTGAAGCTGTAGGAGTTTGAGACCAGTCTTGGCACATAGCAAGACTCTGTCTCTACAAAAAAAATAAAAATAAAAAAATTAGGCTCGGTGTGGTGGCTCACGCCTGTAATCACAGAACTTTGAGAGGCTGAGCAGTGGGTGGATCACCTGATGTTAGGAATTCAGACCAGCCTGACGAACCTGGTGAACCTTGCTCCTACTAAAAATTACAAAAATTAGCAAGGCATGGTGGTGCATGCCTGTAATCCCAGCTACTTGGGAGGCTGAGGCAGGAGAATTATTTGAACCTCGGGAGGCGGAGGTTGAGTGAGCTGCTGATTGTGCCATTGCACTCCAGCCTGGGCAACAAGATGAAACTCTAGCCTCCAAAAAAAAAAAGCCGTGGTGGGGTGTGGGCCTATAGTCTCAGTACTTGAGGCTGAGGTGGAGGATCGCTGAGCCTGGAAAGCCAAGGTGCAGTGAGCCGTGATTGCACCACTGCACTTCCAGCTGGGGCACAGAGTGAGACCCTGTCTCAAAACAAACAAAAACCTTTATAGTTGGATGGGGAAACTGAGGCTGGGGAGAGGAGACAGGATTTGAGGTTAAGGCTCAGGTCTTGCCTCTGAACAGTTGGAAAAGAAGAAGGGAGCCCTTTCTTGGGGCTGGTTGATTCTTGAGGGCGGCCTGTGCTTGACTCCGCTGGGCAGGACCTGCTCTTGCTTGGGTACATTCTGGTGGAGCTCACGAGTGTTGGGCAGGATAAGGGCTTGTGGTCAGTGAGATGGGGAGGGGATCTTGGCCTGGCACAGGATTTTAGACATGCAAGCACCTGCACAGACACCTCCTTATCCTGGGACAGCAAAACCCAGTTGCATGCTAACAGCTTCCTCCTGTGTGCCTCCTCAGACATCCCTGGTCCATGGACACCCTCCTGCTGGATGCAGCCCAGATATGACCTTAAACATCCCCTTCTGCTGGGTGGTGGTTCATCCTGGAATCTCAGCTGCTTGGGAGGCTGAGGTGGGAGAATTACTTGAGTCCAGGAGTTTGAGACCAGGCTGGGAAAGATGGCAAGACCCCATCTCAAAAAAAAGAAAAAAAAAAAGGGCCGGGCGCGGTGGCCTGCCTGTAATCCCAGCGCTTTGGGAGGCCGAGACGGGCGGGATCACGAGGTTAGAGATCGAGACCATCCTGGCTAACACGGTGAAACCCGTCTCTACTAAAAAAAAAAAAATACAAAAAAAAAAAAAAAAAAAAAGAAAAAAATATCTTTTGTCCTAAGCCTCATTGACTCCATCTGTAAAATGAGCTGGGAATGTGCCTGGGATGCTGCCTGTGAGAGATTCTGATGTCCCCTACTCAGGGCCACTAACTGTAGCCTCTCTCCCCCAGGGGCTGTCAGTGGCGGTGCCCGGGAGATCCGGGAGGCTATGAGCTGGCTCACCAGCGATGGGCGCGGCTGCCCTGGGCTCGCTCTTCCAGCCCAGCATCCAGCTGGCTCCGCCAGGGCTTCGTGGGCAAGGGCTTGGGGGCAGCCCTGAAAACAAGCGACCACCAGCAGCAGCCTGTCTTGTGGTATGCCTGTGGGTGCGTCTCTGACACAGGCAGCAGTGCAGGTGGTGCACAGCCTGCTGACCCTGCAGGCCCCTAGCAGCAGGAGTTCTCCTGCCCTCAGGACCCCGCACTGATAATGGGCTGAGGAGATGCAGACCCTTCCCACCACATGTGGGGACACATTCTGAGCCTGGGGTCCCAGTGGCCACTGTGGCTGGCCATGTGTCCTGGAATGGCAAGGACACTAGGAGGCTCCCTTTAGGGCGGGACATTGGGAGGATGAGCTGAGGACGGGGCCACCCACCTGTGACAGGTGCTGCCCCTGCTTTGCTCCGTTCTCCTGTGTGGGTGGGTGTAGGGATGGTCTAGCTGGAGTCCATCCCACCTGCTTCGACGTGAGTCCCCTCTGCCCCAGTGAGGTGTTCTGCCGACAGCGTGCTTCGGGAGGGGGAGAGACTGACCCTGCCGCGGCTGGCTGACACCTACGAGACGCTGGCCATCGAGGGCGCCTAGGCCTTCACAATGGGTGCAGCCTCACGGCTCAGGATTGTGAAGGACATCCAGGCAGTCAGGAGTGGCAACTCCCAGGGTGAGGAACCCTGCAGTGGAAACCCTGAGCTGGGGCCCAGAGCCCTGCGGTCCTCCTGTCCTGCCTGAGCCTGCAGGAAGTTTCTGGTGGAGGAGGGTCATGGCCGCCATGTGGGTTCACAGCTCCTGGTTTTGTCAAAGTCAAGAGAGGCCTTGCGGTCCAGGAGAGCAAGTCCCTGGTGGGTAAATGCAGGTGTAGGCAAGAGCCAGGGCCAGGGAAGACAGAATACAGCTCTAAAGATCCAGAGGACTGGGAGGAGGTGGTGACTGGGCTGCAGATAACTGTGTTAGGCAGAGAGAGGAAGGGATTCCTGGCAGAGGAGCAGCTGGGCTAAGGCCCAGGGAGAGGGGGCTTTGATTCACCAGGAGGGTTACAAGGGGGATGAGGTCAAATTGAGAGAGGCTGGGGAAGGGGCTTTGTGGGGCAGGGGCGTGGAGCTTGGCTGCAGCTTTCTTCAGGTAATTTTTGCCACTGTTTCATGTGGAGAAGGATGCATCAGTCTGTCGACCTTACCGAGGCTGAAATTAGCATGCCAATACCTCTGTCTGTCTGGAGCTGACTCCTGAGAATCAAGAGCCTCCTCCCTCCCCTCTCTATCCATTCATCATGAGGAGAAGAGGCCAAGCAGCAGGGACACTGGCAGGAATTCCTCCACTTAGAAAGGCCCTCTGAGCTGGGCACGGTTCACGCCTGTAATCCCAGCACTTTGGGAGGCCAAGGCAGGTGGATCACCTGAGGTCAGGAGTTCAAGACCAGTCTGGCCAACATGGTGAAACCCTGTCTCTACTAAAAATACAAAATTAGTCTGGCATGGTGGGTTGTGCCTGTAATCCCAGCTACTTGGGAGGCCACGGCAGGAGAATCGCTAGAACCCGGGAGGCTGAGGTTGCAGTGAGCCAAGACTGCACCACTGCACTCCACAGATACTCCTGGCCTCAAAAAAAAAAAAAAAAAAAAAAGAAAGAAAAAGGCTCCTCTGAGGCCAAGCTTGGTGTCTCTACACTGTAATCCCAACACTTTGGGAGGCTGGAGGTAGAAGCTGAGGCCAGAAGTCCATGACAAGCCTGGGCAACATAGTGAGACTACAAAAAACATATTGAGACTCTACATAAATATAGTGGGAGTGGGGGTGGGGAACAAGAAAACATAAAAAATTCAAAGCATACTGAAAAGTAATACAGCAAGACCCTTTACAAAAAATTAAAATTTGCTGAGTGTGGTGGGGTGCCACCTTTACTAGCTACTGGGGAGGATCTGCTGAGGATCACTTGAGCCCAGAGTTCAAGGTTGTGATTAGCCACTGCACTCCAGCCTGGGTGACAGAGCAAGATCCTATCTCTAAAACTCTTTGGCCACAGAGGAGAGAAGGCAGCATGGTGGCCAGTAAGCCAAGCAGGCAGAGGGCAGGTGGCCCCAGCCCAGCTGTGGGTGGTGAGTAGCACAGAGACAGGAGTTCAAGAGCGAGTGAGGCTCCCAAGGGGGCGAGGTTGCCTGCGGCCCTCCCAGGGCACAGTCTCACCCCTCCAGTAGTGCACTCCCCTGTCCCCTCCCCTGGTAGGTCTTGTGGCTTTTCCCCACCACCAAGGTGCAACCATGCCTGCCCCCTAACACCACTGGTGCAGCTCCATCCTCCACACACAAGGGTGCAGCCCTTCCCAGCGCCCCCATCTCGAGCTGCTGTCCCGTTGCAGGGGGCATTGTGACAGCCGAGGACCTGAACAACTACCGCGCTGAGCTGATTGAGCACCCGCTGAACATCAGCCTGGAGACGCGTGGTTGTACATGCCTAGCGCTACGCTTCAGTGGGCCCGCGGTGCTGGCCCCTCATCCTCAACATCCTTAAAGGTGAGTGGCGACCACAGCTCCTGTGGTAGGACCCATGACACGCCCACTCCCTGCTGCAGCTCTGCTGGCCCCTCATGCCACTGCCTTTGCATCACTGAGCTCCCAGGGAGTGCTCCTGCATCACAGCTCACCATCCTGAAGGAGGCAGCAGAGCCACAGGCTGAAGTGGGCAATGCTCAGGGGTTGAGGAGGAACAGGAGTCATCAGGATCGGAGGGAGAGGTGCAGAGCTCAGGGCTGCAGGGCTTGGGTCCAGAGGGAATCCTTGGTCTGTGGGTGGCCCTAGCACTTGGTCATTGCATGGCCAGAGCTGATGCGTGACATGAGATCCAGGTTGGGGAGCCTTCACCTTACTTCATTCTCACCACAGCCTTGTGAAGCAGCTGCTGCTATTGGTTATTAAATGCTCCTTGGGAGGTGGGCAAAGTGGCTGGAGGAAGGTGTTCACCCTCTGAGTCCTCAGATCCTCTGGGGCTCAGCAACGTGCACCCGGTCTGATCAACCAGGTACAACTTCTCCGAGCGAGCGCGGAGACCTGAGCAGAAGGGCCTGACGTACTCACCGCATCACAGAGGCTTTCCGGTTTGCCTATGCCAAGGGACCCTGCTTGGGGACCCTGGGTTTGTGGATGACTGAGGTAGGGCAGAGGCTGGCCCACCAGAAGCGTAGTCACAGAGGCATCAGGTGGGTTTCCCAGGCGGCTGCAGCCTCACATATGCTTTATGAATCCATTCCTGCCACAAACTTTGATTGCGGCCTACTGTGTGCCCAGATGACTGGTGGGTGACTGAAGTCTTGGTCATTCCCACAGTAGGAAATGACAGTGTGGGGAATTAGTACACACTCCTGGCCTCAAGTGCTTTGCACATGCTGTGGTTCTCGAGCTCAGTGCTGAGATGAGGAACGCATGGGAGCATTGCAGCCCTCGGGCATGATGAGAAGGACAGGTGAAAGGGAGAGCTCCATGCTGGGTCCCTGTGAGACCCTGTCATATCCCTTCCCCGCTGAGGATCCTCACATCCCTCCTTACCTACTCGGGTCCTTTGCATTCTGGCAGACCTGCAGACCCCTCCACACTGACCAGGGACCTCCCAGGAGGGGCCTCAGCTGCCCGGGTGGTGTCTTCTCTTTCCCCATGAGCATTCTGTACTCTGACCTGCTGCAGCCAGTGACCTGGTGTCTTGTCTCTGAGGGGACAGGCCACCACAGCGTGTCCCTCTGCCCTCCCTTTTAGCCAAGGCCAGCTCTTCCATCCACGCTGGCTCAGGGCACTGTTCCTGCCAATGCTCCTCTGCCTCTGACCATTTACTTCTTTATAACGGATTATTCCCGAAAGAAAGGCAGCTCTTGTAGCTCTAGAAACTTCCATCTGCTGCCTCCTTCTGTCCTCTCTGCTCCCCTACAGCAAACATGGCTGGCTATGTCCTCTCTCCCTTCAGGTGTCCTCCCTGCTCTATCCCTGTGCCACCAGATCGCCACATCCAGCCTCAGTTTCCCCATCAGGCCCCACTCAACAGCATCTCACACAGCTCACCACACTCTCCTCGAGTTTTCATTTTGCAAATTTTCACACCTATGAAAATGTTTAAGAAAACCCCAAAACCGGGCCCAAGTGTCAATGTTCCTTTCTCCCCCAGAGTCCGCAGTGTGGACGTTTCTGCCGGGATTTCTCTCTCTCCGTCTCCACCCACGTCTATTGGGATTCGTGTTTTTCTGAGGGATTTGAGAGTAGGTTGCTGATGTCACACCTCAGGGTGTGTCTCAAGAGTGAGATCTAACATACCACAGCAGGATGTTGGGTGACACAACCTGCTGTCCCTTCTCTTTACCTACAGTAGGCTCCCTTGGCTGTTTTGTTTCTGTTGTGTTTTTGTTTGGACACAGAGTTCTGTCATCCAGGTTGGCGCAGTGGTGTGATCTCGGCTCACTGCAGCCTCAACCTCCAGGGCTCAAGCAACTTCTCCCACTTCAGCCCCTACAAGCAGCTGGGACTACAGGCACATGCCACCAAACCTGGCTAATTTTTGTATTTTTTTGTGAGACAGGATCTGCCACATTGCCCAGACTGGTCTCAAACTCCTGGGCTCAAACCATCTCCACCAGCCTCTCCTGAAAGCATGGCTTATGCAGGTGAACCACCGTGAGCCACCTGTTTTGTTGATTTTTAAAGCCCGCAGTGGTCTTGGAAGATGTCCTACATCCTGGATTTGCCTTCTGTTTCTTAGGGCAGATTCAGACAGAGCACCTTGCTCTAAGTATTGCTAATCTGTGGGGTGTTGAAACCTCCTGAGGTATTTCTTTGGCCCTCAGGGCCCATCCTCTCTGTTCTCCTTCACCTCCTCATCTCCTCGCCACTGCCTTGTGACCTTGCCAGGTCAGTAGCATCCAGCAGCCGTCAATGTCAATACTCTCCATATTCATCCCCTCAGTCTGCTTCCTGCACTCATGCTTATACATGCACCCATGTTCTTCTTCAGGTCTGATGAAGCATCCAAAGGCAAGCTCCTGATCAGCCCCCAAACCTGCCCTTCTGCAGGCTTACCCTAGTTGGCGCCATCCTCAATTCTTTCTCTTCTCCCACCCAGGCCGAATATCTCTTGCCTATTGATACCCACAGCCTCCTTTAGGCTTTATCCTTATCCCCCTCGTTGGCTGGGAGGGACCCAGAAAACACTCCCCAGCCTCTGCCCATTCCTCTGCCTCAGAGCCTGCGTGGGCACAGAGCAAGTTGTCACTAAGGGACCTAGGAGGTCCTGTGGGATGGGCCCCAGCCTGCATCTTCATCTTCTTTCTCCCCACCCCATTCACTCTCTGCCTATCACTTACCAGCCTATACCGCCTGCCTCAGGGCCTTTGCACTGACCATTTAGGCTGCATTCCAGGCTCTTTTCACATGCTGCCTCCTCCAAGAAGCTCTCCTGACCACTTACCCACCATGCCTCTCACCCCCTTACCTGGTTTGTGGTTTCAGCACTTTCCTCATGTGCGCTTGTTTTTCTTGGCATGAGGGCAGGACTCTAAGTGTCTGTTCCCGTTGGATTTTCCAGTACAGGTATGCAGTGCAAACTCTAGAAATATATTTTGCATGAGTGGAATGAGTGATTGAATGTGGCAAGGGTCTGGAGGTTGAGGCTGATAGACAGACATTTAGAGTTGCTGGAAGGCAACAGAGACAGAGAGTCAGACTGGTCATGCAAAGGTCCGCCTGTCCTTGAGCCCTGGGGAGCCATGGAAGGCTGTGGGTGCCAGAGGGTTGTGGTCAGAGCCACAGTCGTGGGGCCTTCTGGAGTCTGTGCCTCTCCCCACCCTCCCTCCCACCTCCTCAGGCTGTGGGGTCTCGGCAGGGTGGTCTCGCAACATGACCTCTGAGTTCTTCGCTGCCCAGCTCCGGGCCCAGATCTCTGATGATACCACTCACCCGATCTCCTACTACAAACCCGAGTTCTACACGCGGATGATGGGGCACTACCACCCGTCTTGCCGCCGCAGGACGGTGCAGTGTTGTGTCCGCCCACCAGCACCATCAACCTCTAGTAGGGGCTGCTGGGCCGCCTGGGTGGGACAGGCCAGGGGCAGTGGTCCAGGGACTGCCCACTTATCCAGTAAGGTGGCTCACCACCCCTTTCTGGTGTGTGTGTGGGGAACTGAGGCCCGACCTGGGTAGCTTATCCTGGCCTCTCAGGAGTAAGTTTGAGCCCAGGTTGGCTCGGCGAGGTCAGGCACTCGTCTGACCTGGCCATGTGTAGCTTTGCTCCAAGGTCCGGGCTCCCAGCCAGCGGGATCCTGTCTAATGATGAAATGATGACTTCAGCTCTCCCAACATCACCAATCAGTTTGGGTGCCCCCTCACCCGCCTACCTCATCCAACCAGGTATGGGGTGGAGGTCCGGGGTGGGGCTGGGTGAAGGGGGTGTCCTGGGCAGGCAGGGCTGACCGGCATCCCCGCCTCTTTCTCCCGCCGGCCACAGGGAAGCAGCCGCCTTGCCCATGTGTCCAACGATCGTGGTGGGCCAGGGACGGTCAGGTCCGGATGGTGGTGGGTTTCTGGGGGCACGAGATCACCACGCCACTGCACTGGTATGTGTCACCCCTTTCTCTCGGCGCGCCAAGCACCCTGCACAGCCCCCAGACATGCTGATCACACTCCCATGCCCCAGGCCATCTACAACCCCGTTCACATTTATCATGAAGCTGGGCCGGAGAGCCCTGCTGCACAACCAGCTTCTACCCAACGTCACAACAGTGGAGAGAAATACTGACCAGGTGTGCTGGGGGTTGGAGAAACTGAGTCACAGTGGTGGGTCCCAGGGCACCCTGACTGAGGCCTGATCATCACGGTGAGTGGACAATGGTTGGTGTCCTCTCTCTGGTGCCTGGGCCATCTGGAGCGCCTGTGCCATGAGGGCCAAGCCAATTGCTCCAGTGAGACCCAGCAGGCCCCAACCTGCTCTTCCTGATGACCTGGCCTGAAATGGCACCACCTTGGCTGAGGCTCAGACCACACGGCATGGTTCAGGTGGCATCTGGAGCCCTGCTCAGGCTTCCCGCCTCCTCCCACTCCTGGCAGTGACTGCAGCCCTGGAACCCGGCACCATCACACTCCAGATCGCATCCACCTTCATCGCTGTGGTGTCATTGTCCACACACCTGGTGGCTGGGCAGCTGCCTCGGACTCCAGGAAAGGCGGGGAGCCTGCCGGCTACTGAGTGCTTGGGACAGGGAAAGCTGACCAGCAATCCAGGGACAAGATACTCACCAGGACCAGGAAGGGACTTTGGGTCCCCTGTGAGTGGCAGAGCATCACAATAAATGAGGCCACTGTGCCAGGCTCCAGGTGGCCTCCCTGGCCTGGCTCCCCACCCTCTGGGCCTCAGTGTATTGTGTGTGAAATGGAGCCATCTGGCTTCGAGGAAGGGAGAGGTGGGATTCGAGATCTTCACACTGTGGGCGCTAGAACCAGCCTCAGTATCTTCAGCATGGGAGAGCCAGGTGCGTGGCTAGGGGGCCAGGGGAAGGTCCATGCCAACCCTGCCCCTTCCCACCCTGATCCCCTTTGACTTTGGGGCCAGGTGCTCCTTTTATTGGGGCTGCACAGTGACACCTAGGACCAGCCACCAGGGGTGCCGCGCCCTGGTGCTTTTAGGTGTGTGGTGGCCCGGGCTGATGCTGGGAACCTGGGCACCTTCTCAGACCCATGGGCATCCAACTCATCCTGCTAATGACACGGGAGGTGAAGCTGAGTTCCGCTGGAATGGGCATTGGCATCACACTAGAGGGAAACATCTAGTCAGAGCCAAGCACCTGGGGTTCCAAGGACAAGCCCAGAGGAAACCTGCTTGTGAATTCTCTCCAGAGGGAGGCCTGGTTTTCAGGAACAGCAAATGGAAGAGAGGTCCCCCAGATTCCAGGGATTAGGCTTGACCAGCTGGGGGACACAGCCCAGAGGGAGGGTCTGGAAGGGAACAGCTAGGACACAGCAGCCTTCACCATCGGTGGCCCTCCCAGCCTCCCCTCGGGTCTGCTCCTCCTCCGGCATGCCCCAACACCCGGCAGGGATCTGGGAAAGGCTGGTGGAGGTGGGCTGGTGGGAGGCGGTGATCACAGCCCAGCACCTGGGTATTACCAGGCACTGGGGCCAGGGCCCAGGTGAGGGCCGGGTTGGGGCTCTCCTTAGAAGCCCTGAAAACCTGGTGATAGTCAAAGGGCCCACAGACAGACAGGGTTTGCAGCCTATGGAGTTGAGTACCACACTGGGTCTAAGCCCTGGAGGGGCCAGGGTCCTCTGGGGCGCCCCAGGGTGAGATGGGAGGTGGGCTCAACTGGTGTACCCGCTACTCCTCAATCCTTATTTTATGTATTTAATTTTTTAAAAAAATTTTATTTGAACAAATAGAGATGGGGTCTCACTATGTTGACCAGGCTGGTCTTAAACTCCTGACTTCCAAGCAGTCCTCCCATCTCAGCTCCAAAGTGCTAGGATTATACAGGATGAGTTTACTGCACGCGGCCTCAACTTTATTTTGGCCTGAAAGGAAAGGCTGTGGCCCCGTTTGCAGGGGAGAGGACTGAGGCTGGAGGGGCAGGGCTTGCTCTGGGTTGCACAGCAGCAAGAGGCGGGGAGCTGGCCATGATATTTCCTGGACCCTAAGCACTGGGTGGGGTTCACCCTGGTTCTTCAGGTCCTGGGTGGGGCTCAGCCCAGGACTACCTTGGTGGGGGTGGGGGACTTAAATCCTCTCCTTCATTCTCATTGTCCCTTCCCCCATCATTTCCTGGAGGGAAGCCACATTCAGGACCTCCTGGCTGTGCTCACAAACCGGAATGACACCCATTCCTTTCCTGGGCCTTTGCTCAGGCGTCCCTGCACCCTGGCCTCTGCCTGACCAGGGTGGGAGGGGAGAGAGTGGGGGACTGCCCTCCACTGCTAAGCGTCTCTCTGTTCCCGCTGCCCTGGCCTCTGGGCTTCCAGGACTGCAGCGGGTGGGGTGGGTGGGGCTGGCCTGAGCCCAGGAATGCACTTCTGCTCCTGGTTGAGCAAAGTCACTGAGGACTTGGGAGTCAGGTCGCTGGGAGGAGGGAGTCCACAGGCCCCCACTACAAAAGGCAGCCGTGGGAACAGCCTGCCTGTAAACAACCACTCCAGCCCAGGCTAATCAGGGACTCTGGCTGGACATAGGGGCCTGGCAGGCTGTGTGGCCTGTAAGGACACAGGCTGTCTCTGTGCTTCAGTTTCTCTGCTGCCCAGTTGGGCGTCCCAGACTCCAGGTGTAGACATCTGGAGCAGGCAGTGCTCAGCTGGGAAGGAAGTGGGGAGGACTGGAGGAGCCATGTGGGAAGGATTCCAGCCCACATCACCTGCACCCCTGCTGAGCCTGGTCAACAGAGCCCCTCAGTGGGTCCTCACTCCCCTTGCTGTCTCGCATTTAGACACCCTGAGGCCTGGGGAGAACAGGGCCAGGCCAGTGTCCCCAGAGAGGCTGCGCTGCCAGCACAGTAATAGCGGATTTGGATTCAGGGAAGCAGACCCGCAGCCAGGGTGGGGAAGAGCTGCAGGCTGGGCGTGGCACCTAGGCGGCACAGCCTCCCTTCCTGGAGGCCCACGCTGCGTTTCCAGGACAGCAAGTCCCAGGGATGGATGGTCCCAGGTGCCAAGGGCTAGAGGCATGGTCTGTCTGCATTCCCCACATGGACGTCTTGTAGTCACCAGCGTTTGATGCTGTCAAGTCCCCCTGTCCTCTCTGCGGACTGAGAAGCCCTTGGTCATCATAGGGGTTGTGGAACCCAAACCAGGCACAGAAGAGTGCCCAGGGACTTGAACCCAAGTTTTAAAAGTGGCCACCACCTTTGTCCCCCTCCCTCGGTCTCTGTTCAGTTCCACTTAGGTATTGCCTGTGCTGGGCCATGCAGAGAGGGGTTGGCGATAGAGATGGGGCTGGGGTGGGGCTTCACTCTGGGAGGAGGCAGCCTTGCTGGGTCAGGGAGATAGTTGGGCAGCCCCAGCTCTGCTTTCCTGGAGCTGTTAGGAACCCCGGGAATGGTGTGGAGATTCCTGGGAGCCCTATCCCCCTTGATAACCACAGTGCAGCAGGCACCAAGTTCTCTGCACATTGGGACAGTGTGACCCTGGGCTGGTGAGTGGCAGGTGGGGCCTTGGGACTACGGCAGTGAGGGGAGTTAACACAGCAGCTGGCTCCTCTAGGGAAGGAAAACTCCCTTCAGACACTTTGGTGCCTGGCCTCCTGCCAGGAACAAGCAAAACTGAAAACTAGAAGTTGAGCATAAGTTTAGCCACTCTGTAGTGTGTACCTGGGGAGGGCAGCAGCTCGCCACAGCTGCCAGCTGCCAGCTGTCTACCCATTCACCTGGCAACCACGCTTTTCAGACCTGCCTGTCCCCATCATAAGCCCATCTCTGCGCCCATTGTCTATCTGACCATCTTTCTCTTACTGTCCTCTCTGTCCAGCAATCTGGCCTGTCTGTCGATCCATCCTTGACTGTCTATCTGTGGCCCCACCTGTTTGTCCATCCTGTCCAATTACCTTTGATTCTATCTGTGCATCTTCTTGTCCATCCATCTGCCCATCCATCTGTCCCTGGGTCTGCCCACAAGCCCTCCCTCTCCTCCTGGGCCACAGAGCCATGGCCCAGGGCTGTGGGTCCTTGGTCAGCCTGGTGCTGCTGGGGCTGGGGCTGGGGCTGGCTGTCACTGTGCTGGCTGTGGGTCCTCTCTCGCCACCAAACTCCCCTGCAGCCCCCAGGCCTTTGCCCATGCTACTGTGCTGCTGACTCAAGGTCTGCTCAAATATTGGACTGTGAGTGAGGCGTGGGAGGAGCTGGGCCTTTGGCAGCCAGCCCCCTCCTGGAGAGAAGGCGTGTGTGAGTGTGTGTGTGTGTGTGTGTGTGTGTGAGATTGCGTGTAGTAGTAGCTATGCTTATGTGTAGAGTGTGAGTGTGTGTGGGGGTGTGGGGGTGTGTGAATGTGTGTGATTGTGTTTGGGTGTATGTGTGTGGGTGTGTGTGATTGTGTTTAGGTATGTGTGTGTGGGTGTGTATGTGGCAAAGAGTGAGTGCAGGGGGTGTGGGTGTGTGAATGTGAGGAGATTGTGTTTGGGTGTGTGTGTGGGTGTGAGGGTGTGACTGTGTGTGTGGGAGGGGTGTGGGTGTGTGTGAATGTGTGTGATTGTGGGTATGTGTATGTGTGAGTGTGAGTGTGTGTGTGAGTGTGTGTGTATGCACATGCACTGGCCCAGGAAGCAGGAGCCGTGTGTGTGTGGGCTTCAGCACCTGCAGGGCTTGGGCACAAGGAGGCAGCCTCAGGGCCCTTGCACAGAACAGGTGGCAGGAGTGTGCCCATGGGGCAGATGGTGATTCGGGACAGTCGTGTGGCCATGGTCGCCACCTGGCTCCAGGATTCAGGAGCCTATTTGCCTCCCGGGTGGGAGCCCGGTCTGGCCCTGACCCTGCTAGCCCGATGCAGGCCCCTTCCAGTCAGGCCAATTCTCCAAGGCTGGGTCTTCTCCCGGGGTCATGGTGGAAGGGCTTCAGTGTGGGTACTGACCTGCTGGGGTACACACAATGCTGCCTGGCCAGAGTCTGCCCCAGCTCCCAGCTGGGATACATCTCGTACCTCTCTGTCTTGGGAGCCTTGTGCCCCACACCTCACACATCTCCTCTCTCCCTGAGTTAGGGCCTGGGTCTGGTGGCTAGGCTGATGCTTGGTGTCCAGGATGAGGGTGTGGGTGAAGGAGCCCACGAGGCGGGTATTTCCCTGACCCTCTTCCAGAAACCTAGCCCAAGGAGGCCCCTCCCTGCTGCCGCTACAGAGAGGACACATACAGGGCGCCTTCTTGCCCCCTGCCTCCCATTGGGCCCACAAAAGCCGGGGCAAGCCTCCCCTCCCTGCCAGCCACCTGGTCTGCTTCCCAGAAGTTCTGTCTTGCAGTCCGTTGGGAGGATCCCAGTGGTTTGTAAACTAAAGCAAGGAGGCGTGGCCATTCTCTCTCTTTGTTCATTCATTCCATTGGGCCCACAAAAGCCGGGGCAAGCCTCCCCTCCCTGCCAGCCACCTGGTCTGCTTCCCAGAAGTTCTGTCTTGCAGTCCGTTGGGAGGATCCCAGTGGTTTGTAAACTAAAGCAAGGGAGGCGTGGCCATTCTCTCTCTTTGTTCATTCATTCACCATTTGAGTCATTCCTTCCTCCCTCCATTCCCCCATCTGTCCATCCTTCCCTGCCCTGATTGCTCATGCCACCCCCCAGCCCCTCCTGACCTGGTCCTTTGGTTTCTCTTCATGGCTTTCTGTCTCCTCCCACAGGGCTGAGAATGGCAGCTCAGGGACAAGTAGAGCCTGGTGACTGCTTGGT